TCATAAATCATCACCTCTGGATAACAGTAACAAGCTTGTTAATAAAACAAATAAAATTTGTGAAATAACTGCAAGTCAAGATTGCAAAAAAAATTGCATAACACATAAATTGAAACTTGTCAGTGTTTGCTAATTATTGTGTTAAGAGAATCCGCGAATGTTTATCTCGAATGTACTGTGAACAATATTTATGATTCTTTCTAAAGTTCATACATATTTCACGTTCTTCTAAATGTGAAATTATTTCTGCGACAGAGGGAGAAGAGAGAAAAACGCGGTGTGCAGTTGTTGCTATCGACTAAAGTTGAAATTTATAGAGCCAGTTTTAAACTCGACATTTGTTTCCATACATATGATTCGCTTATATTTGTAGGGCACGTTTATTTGTTTCTACGGTTAGAGATATACATATGTGATATACGTTCTGTGAAAACGCTTAAGGTATTTGAAAGGTCGATTTGCTTACAGGATTAGGAAACGCTTAGGAATATATGAACAACCGATATTGGACGCTGATTTAAAAAAAATGATGTCTACAACGCCTTAAAATTTTTGCTATACACACACCTGCATTCAAAAAGATAATGAACAAAATATAATATCTTCTAATTATAATACGTCCTTTTACAATTGATTTTCCGAAAGCATAATATTCCTTGGCATTTTTAGTCCAAATGACAAAATATTTAACACATCCAATTAAATACACCCAATTCTGCTTTTACACGATAGATACGTTCCCGAAAAGAAAAAATTTGGAAAAATAGAAGTTTGATTCCAGACCTAAAAGATCAAAATAATATAATACAACAGACCATACGAAAATTCTGGTTAGAATCTTACGTGCTTGCACATTTTATTTCATAAAAATTGTAATAAAGTAATTTTTAATTCTTAAAATAAAATGCCTCTTAATTTTAATTCAATTTTAATTTCAATCTTTATTACATCTTTTTTAACATCAACGTCAGGCATTTTTCACTTTTGTCAAATGTGCCGGAAATGTCGATCGCGTTAAATGAAAACAGTTCGTGTCAAAAAAAAGAGAATGGAATTCGTTGCTTTTTAATTCGCGTTAATCGAAAATCGTGCAAAAACAGAACTTGGTACATATTGAAGTAGCAATATTTCAAAACCGAAGCTAACATTGGCCGCCATGACACACAACTACATATTCAAATTCGAGACAATGGTGGTCGCGAAGTCTCAGTATTTAAATTCTTAAGAGCAAAAGAAAGAAAATATCCAAGATCTGTGAATTTCTTAACGAATTACACGTGCGATTATTTTCCCACTCCCCGAAATCAACCTTTCTTTTTCAAATCTGAAAGAAAGAAAGTATCTTTCTTAACCGTAACACCGCAGCTGATTTCAGTGCGCGAGCGCGGTTGCCCGGAGTGAGCCCTCGAAGGATGCACTGACCTGGACAATTTCGGAGCTAGCCTCCTCCGCCAACGCGAGACATAACTATAACTATATATACTGTTGATCGACATCGGCCTACCTGTGGATCGCGATTCGTGGCTCCGGGGACGTTGTGTGGCCGCGGCAGCCGAGGGCTGTCGGAACCTTGAGAAGGTCGCAGGAAGACAGATGATGCCCATATTCGCGACAATTCCAAGTGTAACTGGCACGGTCGTCCTCCTTCACGGATTGCTGCCTCCTGGAGCCGGTGTTGTCACCCGCACCGCCACCACCTTCCGAGAGATGACGAATTAAGGGACGACGCATCGCGCGAGCGTCCTATTTCACCGGCACATTCGAAAACACTGCGGCGCGAATTGTAACGAATATCTCGATATCGACGTACGAATCGATAGGTGTCACGTGACTGTGACAATAAGTCAGTGTAATCGGTTCGATAGATCGTCGAACGGTGAAGAATCGCCGACAATTTCTGTCAACGACGTTTGTGTCAAGTTTGCACGATACTTTCTTTTCTTTTTCTATCCTCTTTTCTCTTTTTGATCACTGCACGTCGATCATGCTCATATTCCGGGACGACGTAATCGCGGCACAAGTTCTCGCGAGACTATGTACGTACTTCTTGCGCGAGTGTTTACGACCATACACCCCCCACCCTCCAACCATACTGCCTCTATTTGTCTTACCTGCCACCCACAGTTTTGAACCGTACCGAGCATCGCACTTGGCTTGCCGGTAAGGTTGGTAGCTTTGAAAAATTTATAATCGTATTCTACATTATCGACTCTCTTTTTGTAGATGTCACTGCTGGTCTTTGCCTCGGTTATTTTTGTTCAAACACAAACACAGACAAGGTATATGAATAGACATTGCATGACCACAAACGAGGTACATGAATAGACATTGCATGATCATGTACTTTCGCGGCCATGATAATAAGGTCGACATAATCTTACCATTTTCGTGTCACATCCTGTTGTACCGACTTTGCGACCGCAGCACTACTAGTAGCGAAAATTAAAATTAAAGAAATATGAACAGTGTTGCCAGACCGACTTCGAGAATTATTTATTGAATTGAATAGTATTTCATCAATGAAGGACTACAAAACAACGACTAATGGAAATTGGGATGAAAAATTTAGTACATATTTGACTATTAACAC